GAGGGAGGGAGGAGAGAGAGATTAAAGAGGAGGGGGGAATAGAAAGAGAAAGCAAAATGAGGGGAGGGAGGGACAGAGGAGAAGGAAGAAGAAAATTTATGACTTCAAATCAAGAAACACAACCACGTAAAAGTGCACAATGCCAGCAACAAAAAACACATTCTCAAACTTGAATTCGAGGAATCATGAGTTGTATTTTGACATTATATCATACAAAAAAAACAAGCCAATGAGTCAATGAGGAGACAACATGACAACGGACACCACACACAAACACCAGTCACATCCAGTTCTATCTCTTCTTGAAGCCGTACTTTTTTCTCTCGTAGAACAAATCTGTCTTTGCACTTCCCAGATTGACAATCTTTGGACACCCATCTCTCTGGAAAAGACAGTGAAAGATAAAACATCAAAATCTGATACATTTCAAAGATCAGACCTTACTGAGATAGATAGTATCAGAAGTTAAGGGAATAACATAGGTATAGGTAACAGTGAACCTTTAACCAACACAGGAACTCCATTGTGGAATCCGCTAAACCAAACACATTTAATACGAAAATAGCGGTAAAACGAAAGAAAACAAAATCTCCCTATTTTATCTTCTATTTTGAGCAACCTGTTTACCGACGGCCACACAAATTTTGGTTTAAGCTAATTCCATTGTACCTACAGTATATTGTACAATCCTTTACCTTTACACCTGAAGTGAATACACCCTTCCCGCTGACAGAGTCTTGACTGCAAAGAGCACGCTCAACCTCAACCCACCAATGTATCAATTTGATATCGACTTGAGGAAGGATTCTACATACTGCCAACAACTAGGGGTACCGGTATGGAAAAAATGGAGTAAATATTGCTGCCAGTGGTGGGAAGGGGCTTCAAGGAGAAAATTACGCTCTTTCACAAAATAATGAGTTAGATCTTCTTATAACTTTTACATCGTGAAGCTCATGAGAACATACACATTTCTTAAATTCTTTTGCCTATAATGTGGAAGTAGGCCTACAAGGTGCTAGAGTCTGGACAACACCAAATGGACAACTTGTCGACCTCATTACACAGAAACTAACTGGCAAATTGTCCTGATTTTTTGCATGTGCCCTTGAATTCCAAAAAACCTTTAAAAATCTTGATTTTCGTGCACATGCGACAAATATAAAGAGGTGTTTTCTATATAATCATTAGTATTTAATTACAGTCTGCACAGGGATTTTTTTTTATTAGACCAAGTATGGTAATTAAGTGTTAGATTTTTTTGTTTGTTTAAATCTATTTTCTTTAAAAAAACCAACTGACTGTATGCGCTGCAAGACTGAGTTGTTTTCAGTCCAGCGGTTAGAGGGTGACAGTGGGTTTATTTTGATTTACTCATTGTGATTTACAATGAGTAAATTTTTTTTCATATTTTCTTTCATTGACATTGCATGCGTTTCAATTTGCTGTTGTTTTTTAATTAATTACCATGGTTATACAGACAGAGGGTGTCGCATTCAACGAGGTCACATTCAACGAGAAGTCGGCTCCAACGAGGCAATCCTTAAACCATGATTTTTTCCTCTATATCTCTTTGTAAATGTCCGTCAGCTCCAATGAGGTTGCAAACAGACAGAAGTCGCTTTCAACGAGGTAGCGATAACCAAATAAAAACAATTAGCGGCCCCAAAAGCGAAGAATTTTTCCCTTTTCTCTCCATCTCACGTGAAGCACAAGGCACATTCTCCTAACACATTGTATCGCTAGATTTAGTGCGTCTCCTAATATAATGGGCCCCAAAGCCAAAAGGATGGACGAGAGTTAGCCTACGGTAGGGATGGGAGGGGGTGGGTGGGAACGCGAAGCAGGCTGTATGAAACTGGTTGTACTCTGGATGGGGAGGTCAAGATCGAGACCTTCATTTTTTTCAATTTTCTTTTTTTCCCCTGATCAGAAAATCCAAAATCCAAGCTCCTGCCTTTATTTTATGTCGATTTAGATCTAGGCCTAGATGTTCCCACACGAGAAGTGTTCCGGAAATTTTTTTTTTTAAATTCAGAAATGACGGTCAGAACACTGCTCAAACACGAGCACACTGATGCTGTTTGAGATTTTTTGTCATCAGGGGGAACAACTGTTTTTATTACTGTTATTGGTACATCGTGTGATATACACATATGTAACAACTTGTCTGTGTGTGTGTGAGGGGGGGGGCCTCTGCCTATGGACCTGCATGTGCGGGGGGGGGTTGCCCAGTGACATGCCCATTAGCGCTTCAAATATAGCACTCTGTTGACCCCTGTTTTGGGGTTTGACCAAACTGCATCCCCCTCCCCCTGAAATTTCTGGCTTAGCCCCTGCAACGACACCCTGTATTGTTATGGTTTTAGCATAGTTCCGTTCTTGCTATATAAAGTGCCAGGCGTTGAGTTTTAATGAGCAATTAATTACTAATGGGTATATATAGACAGCACCTCTTTATTTTTGTCACATATGAACGAAAATCGAATTTTTTTAAGGTCTTTTAGAATTCAGAGGCGCATGCAAAAATTCAGAGAGATTCGCCTCTTAGATTCGGTGTAATAAGGTTGACAACTTGTCTGTTTGGTGTTGTCCGGACTATAACATGAAGGCATGGGAAGGAGCAGAGGAAGGAAAGTAAGCAGAAAAAAAAAGAAACTCCCAAGGACCATCATCACTGCATACAAGGGTCTTATTTGGCACTGTAAAAAGCTAAAAATAACAAAGTGAAGGACAGAAAACTGTAATAAAAAAAGTTTCATTTGAATATCAAGTTGCTTTGGGATCAAAAAGATAATGCTCTTTTCCCCATCAAAGACGTCTCTGGCGAGAAGAGAAAAAAGGCCAATTGTAGCACTTGGAAGTCAGTTCAATCTCAGTATTTCTAACACATTACATCCTCCACCCCAAAAATCAGACACACACACACGGCAATTCTATTCTAAATCTAAGACAGACCCAACATAAAACTCCCTCACTAGCCTCCCCTGTAACTCACGTCTTTCTCCATGATCGTGCACTCCTTGCAGTAGTAAGCATCTGACACCCCTGGACCCCCACACGTTACACAACGGCCCTGGTAGGAGCCATAGTTGCACTCATCACAGATCCGCACCAGCGTACACGGCCGGACATACGAGTCACAGATAACACATTTACCATCACCTGAAGGAAAGACAACATATAAAAATCTATCATGCATAAACTAATTAAAAAAAAACAAATTATATATATATTTTTCTTAAACGGAGGACTGACCCAAAGGAAGACAATGAAGCACTTGACTTAATAATAAACGTTAAAAACTAATTACCAGTTCAACAATTTCGTATGTTCAGTTTTACAACACAGACAATCAATACTATGATTCGAACTTTCAAATATTATATAGGCAAGTGGGATTGAGGAGTACAATTTTTTTAAATCGAAAATATTTCTTTTTTTGTTTTATTTGATGACAAAAGATAATTTGATTTAAAATGTCACAATGAAAGATTTTTTTCACTTAATAAAGATTAAAGTCAATACGTATTAATAGTGCATGAGCTAATCGGATTTCTGAAGTTCATGAAAATTAAAATGAGAACAATAGTAAATACTTGAACTTACATTTCTCACAAAGTCGTCCAATGGCTGAAACAAAAAAAAAAGAAAGGAAAACAGGTTACAGGCATTATAATAATATTAATAACATATGGTAAGAAATCAGCAGATAGCTATCACAGGTTTACTGTCCTAAGTTTGCACTAGAAGTAACCCCCTGAAACCCACTGCTCATGGTACACGACAGTCAAACCCTGAATATATATTCATATACCACCAACACTGGGACAAGCATGAAGTTGATGGTGAAGCAGGGCTGGTGGTATAAAAGAATTTTTAGTGCTGTCCTCTGTTACATTTAGCACTGATTGCCCAACAACAAGGAAATGATTATGCCAGGAATAGATGGAGGGAAATATTATTACATGTATAATGAAGTGAGTTGTTTCCTTAGTCCAGAACTTAATGAGACGGACTTCAGGCTTCCTGCATGTGACAGTCCTGTTTCATCTAGATCTATCTTGCGTGATTGCACAGGGTAAAAACAATTAGCAACAAATGACAGCTTCAGCTGTGTGTTAAGTCAAGATCACATAAATTCAAACTGAAAATTGCTGTCAGACCAGAGTCAACAGCATGCTGCCTGAAATCTATAGATAGGGCATGGGTGGGAAGGTGGTATGGATGGGAAGGGAGCAAACTGTTGATAGGCACAAGCTTGCAGAGTCTCATGTGGGAGAATCGGAGACTATCACTGCAGTTGCCAATTGGGCCTTGTGAACCATGTGTAGTGTGTACCTCTAGCAGCCAGTTCACCAGCGGTGTTGCGAGGCAAATTTACATTAGTTTAGGAGTGTACAACTAGGGCAGTTGGTGGACCGTGGTTTAAAAGAGGAAAATGGTTTGTTTATAAAGAGGCATTCTTTTAATTTTGCGAATTAGCAAAACCTGGCGGTAAGTAGGGCTGGAGTTTGACTCCATATTAAAAATAATAGTCCAATAAGTATTAGTCTGTGAATCCTAACTTTGATTTTCACTAGTGTCTTGGGAAAAATTCTGATTGTGGATTAAAATAAGGCCTAAACCAACATAGATTACGAGTGCGTTCCTGAGAAAAGGGGTCACATGAGCAATTTTTACTTTAGTAGTTTAATGTAAAATCTGCATAGAATGACCTTTCTTTTTTACATTAGGTGCAAATGGGATGTAACACTTGCTCAATGACTTGGGAACCTATAGCATGAACACATAGATGAGGGCTGAAACGAGATAAAATTATATCATGCAAATATTCAAATATAATACAAACAATGAAACGTGGATATCAGTATAACAAAGTCATTCCAAGGTCTTGACTTTCAATTTCTTTAAATTCAAGTGTTTTTTAAAAGCAACGTGACCCAACCGTGGCACATGCTAAGACACATGTTGTCAGCCAGCTGTACAGATGTACGAAGTCCCAAATCTTTAATTTAAAAAAAAATTGCAGTTGCTTAATCTGTGGTGTCTGTTGCACGTGTTCTTAAAATACTTAGTCAAAATTTAAGTTCTAAATGTTGGAAAAAAAAAAAAAAAAAGCAAGAGAAGATAACATAAATGTCGCCTTCATCTGCTTTAGATGTTAGAATTTACTTTATGCAACTTCCGCCAAACTCGACAAGAAATGAAAAAAAGCAGATAAACTAGTGCTATAACCTGATCCCATGCATTATATAAAACCACAAACGCAATTTTCAGAACACCGCCTTGCAAGCCAACAGTGGCAACAACAAACGGTTCCCTTGCCGTACCAGTGTTACTCGCAGTGATGGGCGGGGGGAACCATCCATTGCCAATGATTTGAATTTAGCAAACTGAGTTAAGACACGAATTACCACTTTGACCATAACTGGATATATATATTGTAATATCATAATCAATATTGATAATAGATTAAAATATGTCAACTGGTTCCCAATTTTTAAATTTAGGCTACATTTATTTTACACAGACTTGACAGTTGACAGTAACTGAGTCATTAACTATGATTAACAGTTCGCGGTAAATTTTAACATTCATTCACGCACGCAGATGCACTGTTTTGGGGGTCAAACTGCAGCATTTTTTGCTGCAGATCACACATAGCCACTAAAACGTAAAGTGTGCAAAATATCAAATTATGGGTTAAACGGGGTCCCGTAAACCCACAGAGTTTCTTTTACATCAGGGGGGCAGGCTCCTCTGAAACCCCATGATTGGTCCAAAGCACACAAATTACTACGCAGTTAGGCTTTCCCGCATGGCGAAAATTTGGTCCCCGTTTACGGGCGATTTTGCGGACCCGGCCGAAGCGTAGGTGACTAACTTTGTCAACCTCGGTCTGCTCTATT